TTCCATTTTTATTTTTTGAACAAACCAGGATATCTAGTTTTGAACGAAATAAAGAGTGAGCCAATGCAGGAGCTAATCTTCAAACATAGACGTACATATATATAAAGTAGGTCAATTTTAAACTTCTTTTTTATGTTTTTCTATGTACTTCGTGTTTGACACTCAAATTAAGGTTAAATTCATATTTAATTTGTGCAAGAAGTTTCATATTAAAGGGTAAAATTCTCTCTTCCAAATACTACTTTACTTTAGGTGATGATAAACGAGGACATAATATCATGAATTTTTGTGGTTGGATTTATATCAAATCTTATGGTTATGCAAAGATAAGGAAAATTAAATGAAAGATAAATAATTTATGTTTCATGAAAGCTATATATGACTGAAATTGTGTCCATGGCTTGGCCCAACTTTAGACATTTTGACCAAATATTTCGCAACCCAATAGGGAAAACCACATCGAAAAATAAGTTGAAACCAACCTTTAATCACCTTTTCCCTTAAAGTTCAAGTTCTTGAAAAATCTTCAACTTTTGAAGTTCAAAACCAAGAATTTGATGTTTAAAATCATAAATTACAGATGGGCAATGTAGATTTAGGGTCACAAATACATACTCAAATAGTCAATCTTGAAAAAACCCTTTGGAATCACCTTTATCGAGCTCCCGAAGTTCAAAATGGTGAAATGGGGATGAGACCCTTACTTTTGGACACAATGAAACCATCAAAATATGGATCCGGGTTGTCCGTGACCAGAAACTCATGAAAATTGCAATAAACTAATTTCCACATGAAAATACCAAACTGCTCTCGGAAACTCTTAAAATTCAACTAAAGACCTCACCTGGGCCTATACTCATTCCCCGAATCCAATGAAATCTTTGAAATTCCAATCTGAACATCCAAACTCCAAACATTGACCAAAGTTAACTCTTGACCTAATTTCAATTGACCTTCCAACTCAAGGGTTCAATTCGACAAGATCCTGACACTAAAAATGACAACACTCCTTATAAGTATGTAGAAAAACAGATACATAAGCATACATAAAAGAAACTGAAATAATTCATGGTCCTACTTTTAAATCATGGTTCTAACCATGGTAAATACCTCCTAAAATAACTAAAAAGTGAAATACAGAAAACTTATATAAAAATATTATAGTCCTAGAGAAACCAACTAAAATTCCGTGTTGCATTAGGAGCTGCAAATTCGAAATTGTGGAACTCAAACTTGTTGACAAGAAGGGATTTCGTAAATACATCGGCTAGTTGTTCTTTAGATTTGCAGTAAACAAGAATCACTTCTCTTTTTTCGGCACGTTCCTCATGAAAAAAATCTTGTCATTCATAGTGTTATTCTTTCTATAGGACATCGAATTATGCGAAATAACTCTTGCAGTTTGATTATCAGCATGAATCTTAGTATTAGCCTTTTGTTTCATATGCAAATTAGAAAATATTTTTCTCAGCCATAAGGTTTGATTTACCGCTCCCATTGCTACAATAAATTCAACCTCTGTTGTGGATTGTTCGATAATTTTCTACTTGTGGGAACACCAAGAGGAAATCCTTGATTCTAGACTAAAGCAATATCATGAAGAACTTTTCAAGTATTCAATGGATCCAAGCAAATCATATATGAGAATTCATACAACATTAAATTCTCACACTTGATGAATTTGACACCA